AAGCTAGACAAATAAAACTAAATAAATTAGTAAAGGACAAACTATTGCGCGAACTTTGATATCTCGCAGAATAAAGGCAACATGTTGTGTTGAAGGATTAAGGAAGCAACTGTGATCGCGTAACGTTATCGCGCATGACGGGAGTTAAGCGGCCAGCTGGTCGAAACGAGTGGCTCTTCCCAGGAAAATTCTACAGGATTCCGTGTAGCCGCGAGACGATATCGCGTCGTTACGTGCAATTTCCTCTGTATTACTGCGCAGCGGATTTCTTCCGCCACGCAGACGTACACTTCGTCCTTGCTCCGTATGTTCGCGACCTCTATACCGGATGATCGTTGTCACCGGCGCTACAACATGTCTGAGTAAGAATTTCATGCAAATCGCCTTGACATCGACCGTCAAGCATGAATTTGCGCTGGTTTCATCGCCTCACGCGAAATTTCCATTTTATCGGGGCATTATTGCCGGTGATGTATTATATGTGTATTTCTCAAGCATCCCATCAACCTTAGATCCATAAACATTAATAAGGCGTTCGTAAACATCTTTACGGCAAGCTTGGAAATTTGAGTTATCATTCATCTCTGTAAATAGTTCGTCAAAATGTTTGTAAATTCAAACTTACAAGATTTTTATATTTTATAACAATAATAATAAAGACTATCACAAAAAAAACGCAAGATTCAAATTCAGAAAGATATGGAGACTTTTAGAATTAAACTTACAAGTAATTATTTCAAATTTGACGTAATTTATTTATTGGAACGAAAGAGGCAAAGCAGACATTAGAATAAAAATATATACTAAATATAGATACAAAAAAATATAAAACATATATATATATAAGTCTTCTTATATTTAGAAGTAGTACAAATCTATCGAACACATGTCGGTATGTTCAGTCAATTCCGCACACAATGTCAAAGTGCTATTTATTTCTATATCTAACTGTAATGGAAGTAATATATTGACAGATTTCAATGGCAGAAGTTGCAAAATCGTTATTGTACAAATGGCAGTCTGTTCGATGCTATTCGAGATCGTCTTCGATATTTCCACAAGAAATACGAGAGACTCGAAGAGCGCGTCTTCGTCGATAAGGGTAAACGCTATATGATATGCCTTTCTGCTTTCGTACAATCTTATCAGATCTTTTAAAGGGATCTTCGTGTGTCATTTCGTGAGAAATGAACGGGATCCTCGCGATATGAACCTGTCGCGGATTGAAAGCTAGAAATTTCATCGAAAGACAGACGAGTAAATAGAATTGTACGCCAATGTCAAATTCCTTCTTCCTTTTGCGCAACGCGAGAGACGGAAAAATTAAATCGGATAAAATTTAAAAAATTTTAAAAAGGCAATTAAAAGAGCAATCTCGTGGACGACGCTAATTGTGAAATTGTCGTGCGACATTTCTAGCAAACGAGCGAAATGTTATTATGCTTCCTGATAGAAATTCTTGCGAAAATAAAATCGCACGTAACATTATCGCTCAGTTTTCTCTTTGATGGAAATTTTCCCGAGTGCTCGTACTGACGTTCCTAAAAAAGAGACGCGCACGAGTCCTTTCCACAAAAGAGGAAAGCGCGTACAAATCGAACTTCTAATTTTCCTAAAATGCCTTTTCAACTGACACTCTGCATTTTAGCCGTGTGAAAATAATCTAGTCAATGAAATCAGCACTATAAAACGCAACGATTGGCGGAAATATGAGAGTTTTATGAAAATTCGGACAGGATTCAACTTCGTTGAGTATCGTCGTAGAAATCTTATTGAATTACGTCATTAAACAAGATTACCGCCAATCAAAATTCACAACAAATTAGAATTCTATTGACTAGAATAATTGCACAGTGATGTCCTGCGGTTTGCATTGTCAACTAAACTCGGTCGGTGGCTTGACGCAACAAATCCGTTTGCCAACAATCACATGTCATTTCAGCGCAAACATCGGACGCTAGCAAAACAAGCGTAAATCGCTCTCATCGACCTAAGTATCGTGAAACCAAATCGTTTAATCTAAAAAATTAAGTCAAGTGCAGATTAATTAACCGTAACAGTAAATCACACGGACAGATTATCCGGCACGATGTGCGGCAAAGTTTAATTAAATCGCGGACGGCAGCTCTGCAAAACTTGTTGGAAGAGTCTTTTCCGAGCGAATATACTTCTGATGCCCCTTCAAGCATCGAAGCTCCTTTCAATCGCCCGTAATTTCTCCCGAGACATGGAGAATCTCAGGTTCTTCGAGTTGACGGTGGCGTAACGGGGCGCGCGAGGCTCGCTTCTCTCGTGCAATTGGACGGAAGATGTAGAATCCGTGGTGAGATTAAACACCTGCTTCGGAACGTCGTAGACTAGTGATTCCTGATGAAGAGCGATCTCGTCGAACGTTGAATTACACGATTGCGCGCTAAATGTATATGCATGCATTGCAATAATTAATATTATTTCAATTTTATGCATTCTATTATCTATCATTTTGTAATAGAAAATGAAAAAAAGTATAAAAATATCAAAAGTTCTATCTTATATCTATTATATTTACATATTTAGAATAAATTAGTTTTACATTAATTATTATTATATTATTAAATTATATATACATGTATATAAACTACTACAATTAATAGTAGCGTCATTCATAAATTACCTTAGTAGATCGTAGCTGCTTTTTGGAGATGAAGCTACCCATTCGCACGTCCTGGGATGCACATACGAGATGTTCAACGCAGGTATGGATAGAAGTGTAGACGACATAGATCTCAGCTCCTGTTCATCCAATCTTAGTTCCATGTTCGTACGAAGCTTCACCTCTTCCTCCTTTGCCGCCGTTCCCCCCTTCTCCATCTGATCCATCTTCGTCTGTGCAACGAAAGGGTGCTTGGGAATCTTGCTTTGGGATAGATGGGGATGCTTAGGAATCAACGGGTGCTCGCAAGACGCCTTTAGCTTCGAAAAGCTCGCATTCTTCGACGAAAGGTCAACATGCTTCCTGGAGGAGGAAGGTGTGCTGCGTATAGACACCCAAGAGATCGGATCGGAAAGTTCAGGGTCGTCCGTGAGAGTAAGTTCCCCGTGAGATACTTCGGTCAACACTATGCGAGGATTATCGGCTGTTCTTCTGCTGCTGGCGCGACATTCACTCGTGGTCTTCGCGTGGCCGAAGGTCCCGAAGGTCGGCGTTGTCGACAGCTTCTCATCGTGATCGGAAGACTTCTGCGGGAGAAAGGACAATGGGGACGGGAACTGCTCGGCGAATCCCGAGTCGACAACATGTTGCTGTTCCTTCCGCTGCTTCCCTCTCGATTTCCCGATGATTTTCTTGCAATTGAGCGACAACCTGGAATTGATCGCCGATAGCAGTTTCTTCAATGATTTCTTCTGCGACAGTCTCTCGCTTATCGCCGATGCCCACGTCACGCACACGCTATTGTCAATCTTGATCGGTCGCTTAAGCGAAGCGCCGATCTTGCACGGAGATTCCAGCTTGAAGCAGGACTGCATCGTTTCCGATTCCATGTTCTGAAAATTTTCTGAGTCTCTCGAAACGTCCATGGAGCGTGTCATGGTGATAGTCTGAGAGTATGAATCCGTGCTAGTGCTCAGCACGTCGTCGTGCGACGATTTCGAGGAAGACTTCAGTGACGGCAACGAACTCGAAGAGAGCTCGTGCTCCCATTTCTTGTCCTCGAAATTGTACAGATCGATCTGCAAGTTTCTGTAACTGTTGTCGTTGATGCCGCTCGAATCGCGGGAATTCGTCAAGATATTGTCAAGTGGATCTTCGTCCTTGTCCTCATCCTCCAAGAAACTTGAGAAAGTCATCGATCCATTACTTTTTGATTTATCTTCAACCTCGTTCTTCAAGGAACTGCAGAAAAATTGACCTATTTTCTTCTTTCTCGATGGAATATTTGGCAGCTCGCTCTCGGGGCCGTACATGTTGATCTTGGAAAAAACTGCCGACCTCGTCTTCAGGGCTGTGCTGTCGTTGCTGTTCGAACAGTGCTGATTAGGTGCCACAAAATCATTCTCGGCAACAGATTGGACGGAAAAAATCGTGGACTTCATCTTCAAATTGTTCGAAGCTGGCAGATTGCTGAATTCACACCCCGTCGGGCTCGAATCGCTCTTCTCCGCGTTCTTCCAGTTCCGAATGATTTCGAGGTTGTTGAAGAGGTCGTTTTCTTTTTCAACTCGGTTCCGCTGAACATTCTCCAAAGATGTCTTCATATTCATCTCGTAAGCCTGCACGATCTTCTTGACGAAGCTGCCGCCGCTCGAAGCCGACGACTCCGAACCGGAGCTGCGGTGGCTGCTCCAGTCGTTGAAAGTCGTCTCAAACTCCCGTATCAAGGTCTGCAGATGCGGGACGTTCGACGGCATATTTGGTAATACGCGTACTCCGTTGACAGGCATGCCGTGGCGATTAATGCTCTGTAAATATCAAGCTCAACTCGTGCGTCCTCGAATTGTCGATACGGAGCTACAGAAAAAAAATGTATACTTGAATATTATGAATTATATTATGATTAGCAAAAACTTTTAAATAATATTAAATTTAACAATACACAAACAGGAGCGATTAATATCCAACATTTTTGTTCTTATAAAGATATCAATAAGTATAAATCTGTTTCAATTTATTATATTTTAGAAAATAAATAAAAATTATTATTTAATTGTTTAATCATTTCTGTTGCTTTAATTTGATTTTTTTTGCAATATTATGGCATTAAGTATGTGTCTAAAGATTGCAAACAGTTGAATCTGATTTTGCACTTAGAGATCCTGCTTCAAGAAATAACAGTACGGAAAATACGTTATTAAAACTTTAGCAAAATCAAGAAAAGTAAGAAATTTAGTTTTAATCTAATTTAACTCACTAATATTTTTAGAGAAAATTTAATTCCTTCCTTTAAAAAGTTAATAAAAATAAATGTTAATAATACAAAATTCCTAGAAGCAAATCTACTGTAAATTTTATAAAAGCCTATTCGGCCATTTCTACATAATATGCTGATGACACATAAACGTAAGGATAATCCTTGAATCTTGAAGTAATATTCGAGTTATCTAGCCAATCCAGCTGACCCTTGCCTTTTCTATCGAGCGTTTCCCTTATCTCGCATTATTCGAGTCTATTGACATTTTCATGGAATAGGATAGTTTAAAAGAGTATTGAATTTAATTTGCAGTATTTTACGATGTCTAAATCTGATTCGAATAAAGTGTCTAAAAAGAGTGCGATAAAATATTAGCGTCTGATAAAATATAAATCTGTTTTATAAATTATTATATTTCAATTACAGACCACAAGACAGAAATAATATTCAATATCTTTGTTTTAGACATTTCTTAAGTGTTCATTGAATAACTAATTAGAACATCGACAAAAAATGATTATTTATGCTAATCAGAAGCATCTGCTTTTCCGCGACAGTTCCCGGCAGGAATGCAATGAGGCGCTTAACTCTTTACTACCTCAATTTGCTCGATTTCAATCCATCACGATTCGCTTATTTTCATCGAAGTAAACAAACACGTAATCGGCATTAGCTGCACGCATCTCCCTCACATTTTTCATTAAAATAAATAAAAAAATAAAAGCTAATGTAATAAAAGTAAAAAAAAAGAAGAAAATAGCAACGGATATAAATATTTCAATATCTTTCTGCTTTACAATTATTATCGAAAAAATATTTTCTGCGCGTATAAACGACTAAAAAAGTAATTATGACGGTAATTACTACAACAATTAAAATTAATTGATCGCGTGATTAATTTTTTGCGGCACTTTTTCATCATGTTTTAAACTCGCAATCTAAATTTTTGGTCTGCGTTACTTTCGCATCCGGCCTTCTTTCGGTGACGAGAGCATTTATTCCGACGTTCTCGTTATAGTGATAAAAGTCGAGCGATAAATCGACGAACGACCCACGACTGACGACGGCGCCAGTCGTAGCGGCGACGAGGAATCAGAGAGCAAAACGAGAACGTAAATCGTCGCCAAACGATCATGCAATCGATCCACGCACGCGATGCCGAGTAAAATTAATTTTCCGGGATACTGTGGCTGCTCTCTTATCACTCTCTCGTTCGACTATTTGCAGATAAATCTTTCCCTACACGTATTTTGTAAAAGTGCTCACACCATTTATTTGTATAAGTTTTAGTTTCGGTATTCTGTACTAATCATTTTGTTCTAATAGATAAAGCAATAAAATACAACTTCTAAGCAAGCGAATTCCCATAAAAATAAATACTCTGATTTCAGATATTTATGGAATAAATGCATTAAGTGTGATTTATGAAAATCAACATTCTAGATAAAATAGAAAAATATAACAAATTAAAAGTCACCGTATATTATGTGTGTGGGTGTTATCAAATTATAATAAAATCCATTTCTAATAAAAGCATTTCAGAAATTTATATTTGAATAAATATTAGTTATGTCGAATTTCACGGGTTTCATTAAACAAAAACAAAAACAATGCTTCCATGCATATTATTATCCTTTCGGCATCGATTGCCGAAGGGCGTCCAATGATACACCCACCCGAGTTTTCGCACAGGGTCGTTATACTACCGTCGCGTTGTTATTGTCGCAGAGCATGTTTATTTGCGGTTCGCCACGGCGCCAAATAAAGACTACTAATCTAACGGTTCGTTGCTCGCTAGATTATTCATCGTCGCGCGATAATTAATCGCGATTGATCGCCGCTTTGATTGTTAATCTCTTCAGCAAGAATCGTGCCGCATACGCATCACGTGCACAACACGTTTACTCTAATTTGTTGTCAATTCGCGTATACACTAATCTGCTAAGTCAAGCTACACCCGTAAACTCGAGTATCTAAAGAAGAGAAGGGGAAATGTAAATGGAGAAAAACGGCTAAATTTAAACTAGAAAATAAGATTTAAAAAAGAAAAAAAAAGAAAGAAGAATATAAACTCTTATTTAAAGCTATCTGCTAAAAATTAGAGCTTAGAAAACAAAATAATACGTACTATATCAGCAAACTTCTTCTCTTTGCTAGTATATAAAAAAAAATAAGCTTTTGCTCTTGGATTAAGGTAGTTTCAACGGTACAATCGTTGCCAAAAATATAGAAAGTAAGTAGAGTTAGATGTATACAGAAAATATGATAGAAAACAACAGACGAAACAGTTTTTGTTTCACTTGACTGTATCTTCACACGCAAATAACGATATACTTCTTGCTGCTATTTTTCTACTCTCCATGATATGAAATTATGTTATAAAAATTATTGAACAATAACGTGGTAAATCTTCGCAAAATTCAAATATGGCTTTATAACATATTTACCTAATTATATTCAAATTTTTGTAAATACTTCAAAAGTAGTTTTCCTATAATTAAACAAAATTGTCTGATTTTTGTCTGATTAGCCTACAAAAACCATTGAATAAATGACATGTTAAATAAATAATATTTTAATAACTATGCGATAAAATGTTCTAAAAAAATTTGAAATAATGCCTGGCATTGCACACATTTATTTCTTCAAGTTTCAAATAAATCTCGAATAATTGAGAAATCACTGGAATTATTTTAACGTCGTAAAATCAATTTTTTACAATTGTGATAAATGACAATAAAATAAAAGACAAAATTAATCAAAGAATATTTAATTAATTAATTGAGAGATTCAACAAAATGCAGCGTGAACAACACCATTTCTTTGTCACGAAGGAAGAAATAGAACTACCAGGCGTTTGAAAAAGTACAGCGGCAAATGCTACTATTTAAGAGTTTATCCAAAAGATATTACGTTGTCCCTTCAGGAAAGCATATTATTTTATTGCTACTTTATTTTATGGCAGTTCAAGAAAAAGATGGATAGTAAATTTCCGCGAATGAAAAAATGGCTCATGGAAAAATTGATATTCTTAAGCCGGCCCAGTTACAAATGGATGCACAGACAGGCCGATTTGAGAATCCTATATTACGATGCGACGGCTCTCAGTTTACGACCAGAAAAGATAAATAGCTCGCATTTATTTAGCGAAAAGGTTGCCCTCCCGTAACGACGAGTGCGAACACATTGAAGAAGAACGCGGATAGGGTAAGTACATCCCTTTGCATCGTCGTCTCAGTCAATTTTTCTTCGTCACATCCGGTAACCCCGCCTAGCAATATCCCGCGCCGTGCTCCTTTCTCGAGATGCAAGGGACTCACATCGGTGACTCAACGTAAATCGGAGCTTGATACATAAAGCTTCCCGATGTTATCTCTATCAGGCTCTCTGTTAACCCCTTTGCTACTTTCCCTACTTTGTGAATAATATCTATATTCTGAAGAATGTGCAAGGAAAAAACAAAATATTTATGGCTATCAACAATAAACTTGTTTTTCTTTTAAAATAAAATATGACTTAAGTCGCGCATTTTTTTGCTACCTCACGCAAATAGATTACGCGATTAATTAAAAATAACATGTTTCTTTGTCAATTCTTTGCAATAATTGCAACAAATGCGAGCACTCGGAAGCCTTTATGTACAATTATTTATTAATTTTTTAAATTAAACTTAATTAAATGTGTATTGCAGTGGAATCAATATAAAGAACGAAAAACAAAACAAAAAAGTTTCAAGCGCTGACCCGAAGTCTTGATACGGTCAGAAGGTTGCGTATACAACCCCGAGGAAAACAGGGTGTAAAGCGTTAATCTTGTCCGTGTCACGTCCGCTGCATGCGACAAACAAGACGCAGTCTCGTTCTTGGTCTCCCGCTCTCCCACTCTCTCTCTCTCTCTCTCTCTCTTTCTCCAACCCCGTGCGACAACACTGACGTCATTGTCCCTGTAAGTTGTTTTACATCTTATGCAATATGCATGAAACTGCGTTTGAATGCCAACGACACCGTGCCGACGAGGAGTATCGCGATATTGCGCGAAGCGACCAGCGCCGCGACGAAAGTGCTTAACGAGATCGATCGATCGCCGGGCGGAGAAAGAATCTTCCAGCAATCCTTGCCGCTCTAATCTGAGAGGCGTTAAACTGCGTATTAAGAATTCCAGCGGATCATCCTTCAATCTCGACCTTCGCGTCCTTGTCCCTCGAGGGAAAATAGAGAACCGGCGCAATTCATTATCTCAGGAAGAAATTGAACGATCCATTCTCTCTAATGAAACGTATACCTTGTAGGTCGAAAAATTGAATTGTCAATGTCGAAATAAATGGATGATCGCGCATCGATCGCGAATTGGCTCATTACTTGCTTTTGAACTTAATGCAATATTTACGTAATGAATATTAATTAGATTTATAAATATTAAATTTAATCACTAATTATTTGCTAAATTTGATTGTTTCTATCCTCATCTTTAACTGTGCTTACATTTGATTTTTGTTCTGCAATATCATTAATAAAAAATCTTATAACTATACTATCCCTGAAGATTTAGTTATTAACCATTTCGGCCCGACGATGATAAAATCATAAAGTAAAAATTCGAATATCAACCCTTTCTAACGAATCCTTAAAGTTTTAGAAGTTTTCCATCTTATGTCAATCAAGTGTCGGTTGCTTCATGGGAATATTAAACTTTTACGTATCCCGAGATAACAAGAAAAATCGATTTGCTATGACGTCAAACTAAAAAATTTCGCATTCAACCAGAAAAAATATTCCTAAGCCCCAAGATATTTGCCTGGCGATAAATAAAAAGTGTCACGGAAAAATTATATGTCGCAAACGCTAAAATCTTGTGTTCTCTCTAAACGAACGTGCGTGACATTACAAACAAAAAAACCCAGGATCATCGATTCATATTTTGTATTTAAATCAACTGCAGTTATATAGAAAATTGATTGATCGATCAGCGGAATACGATTTAATAATACTGCAAAATGTTATCGCTTCTGAATTCCCGTCAAAGCAATAAAGGGTAAACTAGTTAATGGACACGAGTTCCGCATCGATTCAATATATTCCTTTCACGTACGTAATCAAAGCTTCAGACACGTGTGTTCTAGTCTCTTTGACGGCGATTTTCGGATCAAAGATTCTGTGACCGTCGTCTGCACACGAAATTCTAACCAATCCTCGCGGCGTGGATTTAAATTTATCAATTTTTCGTTTGTGAAAACTTATGCCCAGAGGAAATAAACTTCAATATAAAAGTGTGTGTGTGTGTGTGTGTGTGTGTGTGTGTGTGTGTGTGTGTGTGTGTGTGTGTGTGCGTGTGTGCGTGCATGCGTGGGCGTCGCATGTGGCGTGTATGTGAAGAAAAAGAGTAATATTTCACAATGCGGCTTCTCGAAGCATAAAGCTGAAAGCCAGAGTTCTCTATCGGATCAGCCGTGTTCGCAAGCTTAGAGAATTGCATTTGAGATTGTAAAGCTTTTAGCCTACGAGGATATCTAATTGCCCTGACAATGTACAAAGATTGATATGACATCAAAGTAATGTATTATAAATTAATTTTTGTTTTATCTGTATTTCTTGGAAATGTGCAGTTAATTTTATCTTTCAGAGAATTTTATTGCGGATTGTATTTTTATCACGCTAATGCACGATTTTTTAATACAAAATGCATATTTAATATTAGTCATCAGAATATTTTAATTGAATTCGACTGTTTAATCAATTTTTCGTCCATATATAATATGGACTTAATTCAGAAAAAGTGAAATAATTTCAATGCACAAAATATGCTTGTGTGTATATATGTGTGTAAAAAAAGAATAATATTACACAATGTGTTTTCCTTCGCTTTTACTGCAAATTGACCTCGACTGTTAAATATTGGCCATTAAATATCCAAATAATGAAATTTTAAATAAAAGTTAAATTAAGGTTAATTCAACACTGAACTGTTCAACATTAATTAATTCGCGATATTTCGAAACTGACAAGAGAAAAATTATCTCGGAAATTCACAATAATAACTATGTGCTGTATAATTATATCATTATATCTATTGATTTTATTTCAAGTAAATTGCATTATACTCGTCTTTCCTTTTTAACTCTATTAAGTTTTGAAACTTGATTGCGTTGTCGAAGCAGACTATTGGAAATTTATAATGTCTCTCTATACGTGATGCACATAAAATAATACATAATTATCTAATTGTATGCTTTAATCGATTTTTTAATATACTATTAATGTACCTAATAATCGCACCATGCGTTTTCACGACATAATAATCCTAATCGAGCGGATTACAAACGAGAGCTTTAGTCATTCACAAATGAGAAGTACGTCGCATTATATAATCTCTTTACTTTCTTTGTCTCTTTGCAAACTCTTTGCAAAACGTAGAAAATAATTAAAAAAAAAAAACTAATTCTCAAATTTCTTATCAACACAATAACGATCGAGTGCAGTTCATCCATCTTTCGACCGCTTTCGCGCGAGCGCATACTATTATCCTGACGGCACCCGTGAGGATACATGTACCCGAAGAATAGTGCTTATCGCAAGGAAATTTTTATACAGCCATATATATTTGCATACGAAAATATACGCGCAAAATGTCCCGCGAAATGTCGCATAAAATATGTTATCAGTAATCTGCTTTGACAACGGCGACAAATTTGGAAATTTGATAAAACTGGAAGAAAAAGTATAACAAAAATGGAGAAAAAATATCATAAAAGTAAAATAAAATGGAGAATATACTAAGAAACGAAGCAAAAATATTGGATGGGGATTAAGAATTAATGGTGTGCGACCTTATAGCCCAAAAAGCGATTGATCTCGCAAGTGTGTCAAGTGTGACCGTTGACCCAACGTCGCTGCTCTTTTCTTTAAAGTGGAACGTCTTTTCAAGAATTCTCCCTTGTATAGATCGACTCTCCAAACGACTGTGTGTGCCAAGCTTCTGGCCGCTTCAAAGGATGTGCGAACGAAAAACAAACTCCTCGCGACCGCGCGTCGCGTCGTAGAGAAACATATCGTAAACAGAGATTTAGTAGCGAATAATATCACGGCAGATATAAACGTTCAATCGATGTTTGCACCACATGGAAAGTCTTAAGACAAGAGAAGCATGAAAAATTAGAAGCGGATTCTTTCGCGCAGAAATTTGACTGGCATTGATACGCGTGTCTTTGCGGAACGATCTCTAGAGTTCTACTATCGAAATCGGTAAATATGCGACAAATATTCATCACGCATACTACATGAATTCATATACGTATATATTTTCTTAAGTGGTGTATGTGTGAATTTGACTTCTCGCTGTGTCAAGCATACGAGAATGTATATGTTTCTTATGTGTCGTTTGCCGAATACTGACATTCATAACAGAAACCACACTCATAGCAATTATTCGGTCTTATACGAATCCGCCAAATTTTTAATCAATTTGCAATTTTAATTTTAATCAAAAATATTTTTCACTTTGCTTTGACATATTCTCTCAGTTTCTGCGTAATTTTCTGCGTAACTTTTTTTTCTTTTCCTGATTGACTAATGTTTTACAATTAAATAAAGCAGATATTATTTCTGTTAAAATTTGTTATCATAGATTAAAATTGTCCAATTTTTCGATAAAGGAGAGTTTCCTTGAAATTTCTTCTGCTAAGTTTTCTAAACTGACATTTTTTTTCTTTTTTCAAACTAAGATTTGCCGCAAGCAATTTTCTCGCCATGAAATTTCCCTCGACGCGTTTCTCTCACCTTAAAGTAAAACTATTAGCTCGCTAAATATGCGATTTATTTCGCGAGATTGCATTAATTTGTGCGATTTTCAAGTAATCATAGTTATCTTTGTTTTTAGTAAGTTATTTTTTATTTATTTAAATAAATTTAAAAACTTAAATTTAAAAATTATTTATATATAGTGTTTTGGGATTAATTCCTGCATATGTAAAATGTGTGTCAAGTAATCGCTGACTTCGAATATCGTCGCTTTCGTCTTCGAATGAAACGCTACCGAAGTATTTCCTCATCGGGGTCAGACAGCTCGGAGCCAAGGCTGCTGCGGAGCTGCTTTCACAGCTAATCCCAAACGGGATTTTCTTAGAAAAGGACTAAGGATGCGGAAAAGCCACGGAAACCAGATCCTCCTCTTTGGGAATTGTTAATTGAAATCACCTTGATATTATTCATGAAAATTTCGCAGAATTTGACCAACATATCGATTTTTGTGCACCATCGACTTCTATATATATTTCTGCAATCATCATATCTTCTATATATATTTCTGCAATCAGTATAAGTTTTCTAATTATGCGTATTTACCTCTAATTAGGTAAGCAATAAATTCGTCAATTTTATAAAAAAATATTATTTTTCCCATCAAAATTTTTCTTTCAAATTAATAAATTTCTGACGATAAGACGCAAACATTAGTGAATGTATATCTTGCAAATGTTGATGATAATATCATTCATGCGAATGTTTATGTCGATATCGCTTATGTGAATATTGACAGTTTCAAATTCAATGTCGATGAAATAGTATGGATAATATTGTTAGCGAGATCTTTGTCGATGATTTCAATGTAGCCTGTTGCAGTATGTAAATGAGAAATCGAGTTGAAAAAATGTTACGAATTTGTCTGTCCAATTTTTACTTGCAAACTGCTGCTCTATGTAACGAAATATACGTTTTTGTACATTGCATAATATCGACCCTTTCGATGTTTCCGATTTGCATTTAAAATTTTGTAATAATTTTTTAACCCAATATTTTTTTATTGTTTCGTGCTTTTTCTATTCGACTATTCATATCTTCTATGAAAGCAGAAAGTTCGTACAGAAAAATATTTCAGTTCCAGAAACTTTTATGCTACATTTTTAAATAGAAATATTTGCTTCGTATTCTTCTTTTCTCTACATGTAAGCTTCTTGCGAACAAGTTGTAATATAATTAGAAAGACTATGTGTAAAATCTTGGAACACGTGTTGAATAAAAATAATGTAATGGATAATCCCATTGTGTGTTGGCCTTGTCTAGAATTTTGCATTCGCCACTAACGTTAAAACGACTGTAAATCGCGGTAACTTACAGACGCACGCGCCGCGTGATCTGAAAAGAATATTGCGCAAAATAATACAAAACTCCGCCGCAGCGTCGCCGTCAAGTTTTCTCCGGCGGAATAAATCTTCGTGAAATATGCAAGCGGCATGCACTGTTTCCGACA